GGCCACGCGCAGAAGAAAGTGACGCCCGCCAAAAAAAATAAAAATAAAAATATCAACTATGAAAAAGCCAAAACACACACGCGACCCGCCAGCACACAATGAAAATATACGTGTGTAAAGCAAATCATCAAAAATGAACAAAGTAGCGGCGCAGCAACACAAGCAATATTACGGGCGTACCGCTTGCATGTCGTTGGGCGCCGTCGTTGTTCGGTTGCCGGCATTCTCTTCCCCTTCCTGCGGCCCCGTTCCAACAACGGGGTAATTATTCACCGCCAAGAGCCCTTCCGCTGCCCTCGCCTTCAGACGGCGCCGCTCCTCAAGCACCACACGACTCAATCGGCGGTACCCCCAGTCAAAATAAACCGTAGAAAGAAACGCGGTGAAATTGAGGCCAATGAAAGATAGCAGGGGCATCATCACACAACTCCGGCCAAGGCAAACGTTGCCGCCCTGCTTCTCAGCCTCACGCGTGTACCACTCGCCGTACAGAAGGCGGTTCAGGAGGATTGTAGAAAACACCACAGAAAAGAAAATAAAGTTGTAGTGCTTGGCGGGGTCCTTCGCAAAAATCGTTCGAGTAACCAACACAATGGATGCTGCGCCAAAACCGTTGCCCATGGCAGCCAAGACGTACGGCAGCGGCAGTGCGGCCCTGGGCATCACGAGGAATAAAACCAGTGACAGGATCACGAACACATCAGCAAAATAGACAGAAATGACGATCGAAACCCTGTCCTCCGCCCTGCGTTTCTGCGACCAGACCTCAAAGTAGCTCATCATTAGCCGACCCGCCGCACTTCCCACCCCGTTCAGCACTGTGAGAAGCGTTTTGACGGCGTTGTCCACCTCCTTGTCAGCAAGTGCGGCGTAGATGAAGCTGGCGTTGGAGATAATCACAAGCACGGTGCCCATAATGGAGAAAATGCTCCAGAAAAAGGCCCACAACTCCAGCGTTTTCAGGTTCTGGAGAAAGGTCGTCTGGTACTGCGGCGCAATGTAGTCGACGTCCGTCTCCACACTCTTTGGGAGGCCACCAGCCGCCGCAGGCTCGTTCGCCGCCTCATCACTTGCATTCGGTCTGTCCATCCCACTGCAGTCATCCTCCTCCCGTTGTGTCTTCCTCCTCTCAAGACACGAAACTGGCAGCGCCATCAGCGGAAGTGCCACAATGACAGCAATCAAGATGGATGCAAATATGATGCGCTGCGTCCTCCCCCACTCCAGATACGCAACCAGTGCGCTCTGCAGAGGCAAGTATATAACCAGCAGGACAACAAACGCAATACCGATCGCGAGGCGAATTGTGGGTGGTTTCTGGCGAAGGTAAACGGATTTGCGTGCCAGTCGTCTCTGCTTTTCCTCGACGCCCAGGTGTTTCTCTTCATAGCCAGTCAGGTGGTACGACGGGAGTAGCACAAAGAAGAAACCCGCAGCTCCAGTCACGAGGAACAGCACCATCAGAAAATAGAAGTACTGGTCCGGTCTCCCGTCAAAAAAAGCCAGCTGGATGCTTCCCACAATGGCAGAGCCCAGTCCGATGTACGACTTCAAAATGGCCACGACAGGGCCCCTGCTGATCGGGAAATGGCTCATGATCGTCATCATGTATGCCAAGTCATACAGCGTGCATCCGAGTGTCAGAATGGCGTTGAAAACACTTAGACGCACCACAGAGCCCTCAATTGTGCCGCGAAATGACAGCGCAAACAGCAGCGCCCCGAGCGGAAACAGCACCATGCTCAGTATGAAGATCGGCTTGGGGCCAAAGTGATCAAAAATAAAGCCATACGGTACAAGAAAGTAACCAACCACCAAACCCACCGTGCTGATGGTCGAGATATCGCGCCCAGTAAGATTGTAAAGCGACTGCATCTCCGGCGCAATGAGGTTGAAGGCGTAGCTTAGAGATGAGCAGATACAGCCATAGGATCCAAGCAGCAAAATCGCAAAGCGACGGGGCTCATAGATTGCCTTCTGTGGCCCCGTAGCGAGAACTTCAACAAGATGCTCGCCGGTCATGGTTCACGCCGAGCCAATTGGATGAGAGTTCTTCCAATTGATATAATGGCAGCGAACAGAGTGGCCCCTATTATTTCTGTGTCCAAGATATATAGTTATATATACGCGTGTGTGCTTTCTTCCCTTAAAATCCACCGTTTTTTCACGTCAAAACTCAAACCCAAACGAAAATAAATGAACAAAAAGACCCCTCAAGAACGACACACAAATGTAAACATATACGCGCAAAGGACCGGCCACGGTGTGCCGCACAGTTGATGAGGCCTCGCCCCCTCCCCCGTCAGTTCTTGTAAAATGTAAATAAAAACACGCTTAAAAAAAAAGAGGGGTAATGGCACTGGACAGAGTGAGAAACGCCATCAAGCACCCACACAAAAGAGAAAAAAACAAATTCTAAACTTCTCTATCGCGCCACTCTCACGCCCTCTCAAAAAAAAAAAAAAAAAAAAAACAAGAAAAAATGCTAAACGCATGTGTTGTTTCACTCCTCACAACCTTTCCGGCTGGTTGCATGCGTCCTGTTGGCTCTCCGTCCGTGTGTGCTGCATGCACGTCTACCCACACTAAACACGCAACCGTAATATTGTTATACATCTAATATACCAGCACATACGTGCATACATACGCACATACATATATATCAACACATACATGTCCTCATTTTTCATCGGCAGCAATTTGATATTTAATAAGCCCAACACAACAAAACAGAGAAGTAGCACACATCATACGCACATGCATTTTATGGATATGCATGGAGGAACAAAACACGCAACCCCACATACAAAAGAATAATAGAGCACGCTTGTAAACGTGCAGTAAATGACCAAGTAAAGATATCCTGGCAGGCTGTTCGCCTGGGCCACTGGCCGGATCCTGAGGTTAAACAAATATAAACAAAATACGACGGGAATGAGAAGGGGTGAATGGAATGGGAGTGGGTCCGCCACATCCTCAAACTTTACACCAAGCAAATGTATGTTTATATATACGTATTTCGGTAGCCACCCTCGTGACGCGGCCGCCCCATTCGGACAGGATGTATACCTATACATATACAACTCACGAAATTGAAAGCTTTTGGGGTCCAGCCAAAAGACCCCGCCGCTCCCCTTCGCAAGTTCCACCCCTTCGCCAAGAGCTGAAGCGTAAAAATACGACCGCGTGATATGCCGTCTGCGGGGTTTTCTGCAGACCGCACGTAGGCAAAGGATGCATGTATTCCGCGAGAGTCCAAAAACTCGTATATCCGTTGCAGCTCCCACGTCATGGCGTGCGATTCTGAGCTGCCTTTATTCGCCGCTCCTTGCAGCGAGGTGTTGTCTACCCAAACGCCCATGGTGGATGGCAAGATGGCGGGAAAGGCCGATAAGGCCAAGCGTACCGCGCATGCCTCGGCCTGCATGATAAGAAAAGGTTTCTTCTCCCACTTCCATCCGGCAGTTTTAACGTCGCCGGGGTCTGGAATGAAGACGGCTCCCCATCCATGGAGCGATGCGTCCGTGATGATGGCGGCCGATGTCTTTTCTGTGGTATTGACGTTTCGCTTGCAACTATGTTCTCGATGATGTGTCGCAATCTCTCGCCCAAACCAACCGCTGCCGGCGGAAGGCTTGCCGGGGATGTCTCCATCACAATCCCCCGGTTAAGTGCCGATAATCCTCGTCGCACTGCCTTGATGAAAAAGTGGCGGTCACATAAACGCCTGAACAAAATGGCAGCCGCGTACAAAAAGCGTGACGCCACAACCTCCATTTCCGCGATGGTTAAATACTTCAGCGACGGCATGGCGCATACACACCGGACAAACTTGTCACTCAGGGACACCGCCCGGTGAGTGTGATCAAACAGCACCACAGAAAGATTTAATGCGTAGCGCCCGATTCGCGTTCCTCCCCCAAGGACGCGTGACAACTGTCCGCATTACGAAGCACTTGGGCCTCCCACAATGTCGCGCCGCCTTTCGACCCTGCCAATGCGTGCGTTGTCGGCAAAAACGCAAATACGCAGCAATGGGGGTGCGGCCCAGAGAAGGCGAACCACCGGCGTCGCCCCGCGAATGCCGAGCTAATAATGATCTGGAGAGTTTCTGGGCCGGCATTGTGCCCCATTGGGAGCCGTGCAGGCCCCACCAGCGCGCCGTCCTCCACGCGGCACCGAAAGAGATGCCGAGTCCCCCGCGGTAAAGAAACTCGGGAAGAGAATACCTTTAAGTCCAGGCGGGAAGCGGCCTCAGCAACCACAGGCGGCAAACAATGGAAGATGTGTGAAAGAGGAGCGTTGGCCTCGCAAGGGTCGTCTCTGTTCTTGTCGCGCGGCCACGCGATCCATCGCAGTCGTGAAGCGGCGATTTTCTCCTCCACAACCGAGAAAGGTATTATGCACCCGCCGCTCGTTATTGTAGACGAAGCGTCCTCGACCATTCCCGCCTCCGCCAATCGCGCGCCGGTCGCCGGAATCCTCCGTGAGCTCCCGCGCGCTTTGCCGGAGGAGGAAAGAGGAAAAGCGAGCCGCCCGACGAGCCCCCATACTTGCATGAGCCTCTCCAAGGTGGCCGGGTTCAACCGGCTTCTGTTCCGCCCCAATTTCAGTACGGGCACGTTGGGTTGTTGTAGCGGGATGGCTCGTTCCTCTTGTGGAGGGGCCGAACGCTTCCTTGGCGCGTCTTGCGGTTTTGTCAAAATAATGATAAAAATCATGGGAAACCGCTTTTCCGCCCTCAACCAGGGTTCCTGTCCTTCCGCGGTGTCTCCCTTCGCACCTGTGCGGCCAGTGACGACACCTGGGTCAGCGTTGTGGTGCGCCTCCCAAAATATCGAACTGTGTCCTGAAGAAGGCCGAACGAGCCACCGTGTCCCGCCAACTGCGGGATCACGTGTGGGTCCGAATTGTGTGTCCCCACGATTCGAGCAGCGTGCCTCAACACACCGCGTTCTATGGAACGCGCCGTGGCATTCCAAGGAGCCTCAGCGCGCTCGACTTGGGCAGTCCCAGGATTCATGAGCTTTTCGCTGTGTCGAAGTGCCCCGCACAACTTTGTGGTGTCGGGCGCGTCCTGCCCTCGTATCCTGACGAACCGCGAGGCGCGGCGGAGATCCGCCCTCGCCGTCTTCGGCGCCGCGGGCCCATCCAAAACTATGGCCCCGCCCGGCCCCAGCGTGACATTGTTGGGTGTCAAGGCCGCAATCTCGGACAAACAGCTCGCCGGCATCCACGCGAGTCGTAAGACAACACGCTCCTTCCATCGGTTCGGCTGCGGATATACCGATCCACTCCTTCCTTTGTCGGGGGGCGCGCCCGCCACGTCTCTGGTCACGCCGCGATTTTTTGCAACCCCAGAAACGCCATGGCCAGCGTGGTTTGGTTCATCTGCGACATGGGCGCCGCGGCATCCTGGCGCGCTGCGGTCGGGCCGACGGCGCCACATCCAATACTGCCGCCAAAAGGCCGCACAGCTCTTCTCGCCCGTTGGCTGTTCGTGCGTGAGACAAAAACACTGCAAATCGTCTCGTCAGGGGCGGTCCCTGCTCCCACTTTGGCGGCGCCCACACTTCTCGAGCCACCCCGTTCGCTATCCGCACGCGGCCGGGCCCAAA